TTTTTTTCTTTGCACACTCTTCTTTGAGTGACAGTAGCCCTCCTTGTGACCCGTTTCTTTGCACTGTTCGCATTTATGTTTACTATATGAGCATTCACGTGAATAATGCATGCCGCCGCAAAACCAGCAAGGTGTTTTTGATACCTGCTTAGCTTTTGCATTGCCAGTATGTAAACGTTTAACAACCACTTCGTTTTTGGGATTCTCAATTAATTTTGTATCTGTTTTTAAATTAATGAGGCGCTGGCACTCCTTAGATAACCCGTCGAGGGTGAGGGCGGTATCGGTATCCAATTTACTTAGCATTTTGGTTCGTATGTCAAAGTCTCCTTCAGACTTCAGGCCCATTACGAAAACTAAGCATTTAAATTGGTCCAATGTCAGCTCTTTGAGCTTGAAATTTTCGCAGTGTCTATTTACTGTTCCAGCGTACGTAACGAAATCGGTCGTATGCGGTTTTGTTAGTTGCAAACAATTGAACCTAATGTTAAACAATGATGTTTGTAGTCCAAAAAGCTGCTTCAGTTTTTCTACTGTCTCTTTAAATGTTAAATCGCGAGGATGTTTAGGCAATATATAATTGATATACTTATTGTGTACGACTGTGTTAAGTTTGCGCAAAAGTAGTCTGACTTTAGCTGCGTCATCTAATTTAGCAGCGTCGACGGTGAACAAATCTTCGTATCTGGCATACCACATGTCGAAAGTTAGGTTAGATTCAGGGTCAAAGCAGAATTCTGTGATGTTTGACGAAAGGGCTTCTATAGTGAATTCCTGGCCCTTTTCCTCTGGCTGTGAAATTCTTTGTGGAATAAGCTGCTTGATTAAATCCTGCATAAGTTGTGTGTCGCGCTCATGTTGCTCTTTCATCTGACTAATCAACTTTTTTACGCCTTCATCCATTTTGAAGTTAAGTGTGACTTTTAGTGTGTGTGTTGAAAACCAATTTTCTCGTCGCCACTATTACGTTCCTGACTTCAAGAGCGTATTTTCAATTCAAAAAGGTTTATTAAAACTTCAAATATAATATACAAATTAACATTAATATTAGA